ATACCCTCCACTATATAAATCAAATGATATATACTGATCTTCCTGACGTTAGAGATGCAAAACCATGACTCATTAGTATCCCTTATGCAGTCCCCAGATTGATAGGGTAAAACATTTGTGCTCTTTTTTTTTTTGCATTTGGGGTGGTTTGGGTGTAGTAAAAGAACAAAATGTGTCCTTCAACCATTTGAAATACCTCTTACAATATGTCTTGGCCCCACAAAATTTTGGAATATGACTCCCACTGTTTGAACACAAACCTAGTGTACCATTCAAGCCATCTGAAGTTGCACAGCCCCAACAGAGATAGTTGTAAACACACCAACTGACTTTTGCATGTCAGTCTACTTTATCAGGAAGAACAGTTATGGAAAAAGGGACCTGTTATTGGTAAGACTGTCTTTTCAATGTGGTGTCTGCCCATTGTGTATGTGCAAGCTAAGAAGATGTGAAGATGTGAGAAACTAAGAAGATGGGGATCCAAAGGCAGACTCTATCAGGGCTGCCTCAGCCAGAGGAAATTGACTGTTTCTTGTGACCAGCTTGCCCACTTCTTTAATTTTCCAAAAGGATGTAAAAATCATGCTACTCTTTGGGCAGTTCAGTTAAATGGGGTAACCAATACTATAATCTGGTTTTTAATGTTGTCATTTGCTACTGAAGCTGAATTGTTTTAACTGGGTACTAGTTTTGTACTTTGCACCATTGTGAGCTACCCAAAATCTGTGACTGAGCTGAAGAAGCACACAAATGCTAGCAAATAAATAGACAAATAAATTTCCTTAAACCTGAATCCAGCACTTTAAAAAAAAAATCCCCGCAAATTTTCCCTAATTAAAAAACAACCACCTGAAATGGCTCTATGAAAAAGATTATAGTGAGAAGACACTTTGGATTTATTCAGTGGAAAATACTGTAGTCAATTTCTAAAATGAAATTTAGAAATGGCAAAAGTTGAGGGGATGTCTTTTCATTTAATGAAAAAGGTTTATGAAAAAGATTACCCTTAACCAGTGGGTTAAGGGTAAAATGACAAGCAGATTTTCAGCAGAAATATATAGAGACCTGGCTTCTACCTATTTTGTAACAGTAACCTTTTTTAAACATAGTTATGGCATATTTAAATGAGAGAACAAAACACCAAATTCCTTGTATTTTGCTGTCGGTTCTTCAGGCCAAGGTCCATGTAGTATACTGTATATACTCCAACATAGTCAATTAATGTATACCCTATAAATGATTTCAAAATGCAGCAACTAATTTTAGTGTTTGTAAAGCAATAATCTAAATTAAAATTAAAAATGTCTAGCTTCTCAGAAAAGGTAATTTTTAAAAGCAAATACCTGTCTCAATTAATAGACTTATTGCCCACTGGAGTGCAATTATCTATAGTCATCCCACAGTGAGATCTGTGTACAACTTCCTCAAGTAAGCAGCAGTCAACCAACATCAGAAATAGCTTTCAGGAGGTGGTCTAGGAACCAAATGTACTTAAATTAATTTTAGCACAGGGAATTTCTAAAGTCTCCTTTAGAAATTATGCTTATTTACCCAAAGCAGATTCTCTGTGCACAGTAGGTCTTATACCTTACTGTTATTTTAGGAATGCAACTTCAGAATTTACTTTGCATTTTAAAAAGTTTTTTTATTAAACAAGCAGTTGGATGAAGTGGAAAAACAAAGTAACTCTTTGCTCAAAGTAACTCTGCCCATTATTTATAACATTTGGGGCTTAAAATGTTTCAAAGGGAAACAGAAAATAAATCCTTTCTTAAATGAACTGATAAAAAATTCAGTTGTAAGTACATATATAAAAATAGAAGTTGGTAATCCAGTAAATTAAGTAGTTTTATCCAAAGAAAACCTTCTGAAGTCTCCAGAGTTTCAAGTGATGGTTTAAATGAATCTTTTATGTTATATATTTAAGAGCTTCCAATTATTTATATCTTATTTCAAAGATCTTACATGTATTAAATTTCACTGATTACTGCAAAAAGAATCCTATTCTAAATTTATGTTTATCCTAGTTCAAACAAATATATTTCAAAGCAAAAAAAGATTTGTAGACTGTGCATACAGGAATGTTGTTTCCACAACATCATTAGACAAGTTTTGGATCTTGTTTTTAAAAACAGCAAGTATATCATTCGCTAGCCATGGTGATCTCTTGTCTCGTAAACTCCAGGTAGGATTACTGCAATGCATTATTCATGAGGTTGGATCTTCAAATCATGCAGTATCTTGATATAAAGTCTATTATATCAATTCTTATGGAATTACATGGCTGATATATGTTACTAAGAACATTCAAGCATTAAGGTTAAATTTCAGCATTAAAGCTGAATAATTTGCTATCCAAATAAGTTACAAAGTGCCCACCCCTCTTTTATCTTTCCCACTTATTATTTTGCAAAAATAATAATAAATAAAATATACATTTATAAATGAGAACAGGTCAGTAGGACCATACTAGAAATCAATTGCCATTGATTTATGAATTCATCAATATTAATTACCTACAACCAGTTGTATATACTTAATTAACATTCTACGTTTTCCATATATGACTCCCCCACTTCATGCTTTCAGATAATTTAAAACAACTTAGTGTTTGAGTCCACACATTATGCTAAGCTAGTGTTTGCTTTAACCATGATTTGCTGAATCAGCCCCAATGGCTGAAAGAACCACACATCATGCTAAGTCATGCTAAAATACATTATGTCTTAGTATGAAATGTGATCTAAGCCTTCATTTCTTCACTTCTCTAATCTGGTAAGAAATATGCTAAACAATGCTCAATTGGAGCATATAAAACAGTTAACAATGTTTTATTAAAGATGTTCCAATATAAGATCTTGATGTGGCTGTACACTTCCTTGGTATTATACCTATACAAAGACTTCTAGAGTAAAAACCTAGAATGTCAGATGATTATTATTTAACCCACTGGCTCTCAATTCAGAACATCGGATGCTATTAGAGTATGTTAGCAATGTTGCATCTGACACTCACTGTTAGAAATGTGTTACTTCTTTTAAAAGTAATTTTGATTCAATAATCTTGCCTTGTCTTGTCCCAAAAAGTCATCTTGCCAAAGAGAACCTGAATGCATATCAGAAGAATTGTGATGTAGCAATTGCATGAAGCAAGTTGCCTCTTTAGTGAGTTTTTACAGGAGATAGTGAAAGGACACTGGTTTAAACTACATTAAAAAAGTCTTACTCACTATGAGGATTTATGTAGAGAAAATACTTTTAGAGGGTTAGAGTAGACCCAATGCATAAAACACACCTTCTATGGAAGTAGGTCTATTTCGGGGGACTTGGAGAACAAGAAATGAGAAGTATCAATCCTGTACCCAGGCTTATAGCTACTGTTTAACTATCTCTTTCGCACTATAGTTCACAATTACCCTACCTTTGTCCAGTGTCCATTCTATTTTTCACATTACAGACAATTCACACAACTGCACACTAAAAGGAGCAGTGTTTTTCCTATCACCGTATCCCCCTCAAAGACAAATTGGTTAAGGAATTAAAAGGGCTTTTAGCAAGTTAAATTAATGCCACAGAAAACAAGTCCTGCAAATCTTTACTGAGGATTTGTTTTTCACCATTCAACTATTTAATTATAGTCAGTGACTAGCCAAGATAAAACACAGAACACACACACACACACATATATATAAAGCAGAAGCAGTAAACAAATCAGAGGCCTAAAAAACCTGTGATTTTTTTTAAAAAAAGGATTGAATAACCTGATATAAATATAAAAAATAAAATAGAATGAAAATAATTTCTTCATGTTCCCACTCTTAAGATTTGAACACCTTACACCTTATAGAAATTACTGCAAATAAAAACTTAACAGCTGGTAGGTTTACATGCTTTACAGTTTGCAATACAGAGTCCTCAATTTACAGCCCTTCATTTAGCAATCATTTAAAGTAATAATGACACTGAAAAAAATGACTTATGACTGGTCTTCGCACTTATGACCATTGCAGCATTCCCATGGTTACAGGAGCAAAATGTAGGTACTTGGCAACTGCATATATTTATGGCAGTAGCAGCATCCCAGGGTCATATAATTTGTGATCTTCCCAGCTAGCTTTCGAACAGTGAAGTCAATGGGGGAGGCTAGATTTGCGTAAAGATTGTGTGACTCATTTAACAATTGTGGCAAAAAAAAAATGTAAAATTGGGTGTGACTCACAACAACTGCCTTGCTTAGCAACAGAAATTCTGGTCCCAATTGTGGTTGCTAGTTGAGTGCTACCTGTATTAGATAGGAAGTACAACAGAACTACAAGATGCACCCTTGTGGTCATAATTATATTTTTCCATTGTCCCTTTTATATAGTATACATGCAGGTATATCTTTACCTCCACCTAACAACCACCTTATCTGTTAGCAAGGAGAGGCAATTCAGCGTGTTAATTGGTCTTTTTTTTCCCCCAGAGCAATTCAAATTCCAACCCAACATCTGATCCCTTGAGCCTTAAAACCAGAATGCCGCTGGAATTATCTGCTTCTTCGGAAGCACACAGAAAGTCACAAGTGCGCTTACAACAGGAAAGCCGAAGGATGGTGCTGTAGTCAGACATACGCCTGCACCATCTCGACCACCTGCTCCACGACAGACCGTCAAAATCGTCCGGCTTCGGGGCGGCGGGGGGAGAGGGGATAAGGACCATTTTCAGCAGATTTTCCCACCAACAAAATTAACACCTGATGATCAAGATGCAAGATGGGGGGGGGGGGGGGGCAACCCAGCCTTACCTCCGGATCTCCCCTCCCGTCCAAACGGGGCATGCATTATTAAAGACCACAATAACCACCGACTACAGCGGGCCGCCCACCTGCCTACGCCGCTCCGCTGCCTCTCAGCCCCCGTCCTCACATCCGCGGGTCTCAATCACCTGGGGACCCGCCTTCCCCGCCCCCCAATTCCACCGCAGCCCCGCAGGGCTCGCCCAGCGGCGCCCGCGCCTTACCTTCATCCTCGAGCTCCAGTTTCTCCAGCATCCCTTCGGAAGCGGCCGGGGACTGAAGCGGCCCTGCCTGCAGAAGGGCGGGGAGGGAGACACAAGAGAGAGACGGCGGGATCAGCGGCATCCAGGCGCGGAGCTCACCCGACTCGCCGCGGCATTCCCGGCAGGCGCCCACGCGAGGCGGGGTGAGGCTCGATGGACGGACGCTCCAGGAAGGGGAATGGGCAAGGGGAGGAGCCGAGGCATCGCGGAGGGAGGGAGCCGGGAGGGCTTCCCCGCCCCCCGCCCCATCCCCCGGCCTTCCCGCCCCCGCCGGGCCCGCTGCGTCCCCTCCGCCTCCCGCAGCATCGGAGACGCCCTCTGCGGAGAGGCGGTTGGAGCTTAACGGATCCCGAGTGAACGTTGGCGCGTTTCAATTTCCATCTCGAGATACCCCCTCCTCCTCCTCCTCCCCCCCTCCCCCCTGAGGGGAGCCGAGTGGAACATTCCAGCCGGGCCCCGCTTGGTTTGCACCTTAGAGGGGGGGAAAGGGCAGCTACCACTCCGCGTTCAAAAAGGAGGGGAGGGGGACGCTTCCTAACGCCAGACAGTCAGCCAAAGCCCGTTTTGCCTTCGCTTCACCTCTGCTTCCAGAAGCAGGCAGGAGCTTCTCCGTTTTAAAACACTTTGCGGGGATGGGAGTAGAGGCCACAGGCATCTCCCGTTCTCTTCTCTTCCCGCCCCCCCCCCTCAGCTGACGTTGGTATTGTCTATGTCCATTCACCTTCCTGGAGGGAAGAGGCTGCACGTTGCAATACTATGGAAAGGGTCACGATGGGAAAGGGCGTTAATTTTACTAGGATAACTGCATTATTTCTTGCAGGCCGAGATGTGCAAGCAGATTTAACAAATGGGTCAGTTGTCCTGATAGCATAGCAGAGGTTATGTGAGTCATTTGTACTTCCTTGCTGCTCCTCACAGAAAGACATAATTTCTGTAGCACCTGTTGCTTTATAACTGCCTGAACTCCCAGGTTTAGCGATAAATCTCAATGGATGCATCCAGACAACACCTGAAACCCAAACTCAACAGCCCAACTTACAGCTTATGAACCAGGACCCCACGTATGCAGCCTTTATCTTCACCTTAAAAGCTTTCATATCTGAGCTGCAAGAATCCAGATGCCCTTAGGGTTGGCAACAAAGAATTAGATTTTTCCTTATGACTTTGATGCTAACCTGAGATATGAATTTTTGCAAGCCAGAACTGATGCCATTCCTGCAAATAAGAGAAGGTCTGCCTCATGCTACATTGATTAGGTTAGCTTCCTTTCTCATTTAACTGAACAGGAATAATAACAATTGATCCTTCAACATGTCCTTAAAGCATCCACATATATCAGTTTTTAACCATCCAGACTAACAATTACTTATTTTAGTTTTTAATACCTAACCTGCTGTTTTTTCCAGGCTGATGCTCCCAGGGTGATTGACAGATCATTAAAAATCTCTGACTTTAGATTCACCTGGTGCTCTACAACATTGGATGATTTCCAGGTATTTGTACCCACTTTTTTTTTTTGCATTCTTCATGTAAGAAAGATATTTGTCTTACATCTATTCTGGTTTATGGCATCCATTGTTCCCTTATATTTCTCCCTGCCAAATTCTAAGTACCTCTAACAACATTAAAGGGCTTCTAAAGGTAGGTACTACAGCAGTTTTATTCTTAGTCATTATAATTAAGAATCTCTACAGTTCTCTTGGCAGAATTTTTTAAAAGTAATTTATCCTTGTCTATTTCTTCCAATGGCTGAGAGAAAGGGACTAGCTTAAAGACTTCCAGATTAGAGCCTATGGTTGCTAACCAGGTGTCTTAACCACTATGCCCAACTCATTCAAAACTACAATTTATAAATATTGCATATTATTTACACATTATTCAATTTTGAATAGTCAATGAATTAACATTGTTAAAGAAAAGGTCTTATTCTTAAGAATGGAATGTCTACACAAAAACAAACTTGTTATCTAAAGAAAACAATATCAAATTTCAAATAAACAAATCTTATAATTTCCTTCAAAACTAAAAGCTGTATCAATTGGTTTTTTAGAAACTGATTATTAAGCTTCAATGTTTTTCAAATCAGGTTTTGTATAAACTGGAATTAAATGTTGATCAACTTCAGAGGAAGTTGCTCAATATGGTGGTGTTTTTTAGCTAATACACTCTCTTGCCAAAATTTGAGATTTTGCCCATATTTAATCCAAGTTAAATTTGCCATTCTTTCAATACAATCCCAGCTATGTTTCAAAACATAGATTACTAGATAATCCATGCCCTATTGCAGTGGTGGCGAACCTATGGCACAGGTGCCAGAGGCGGCACTCAGAACCCTCTCTGTGGGCACGCGCGCTGTTGCCCCAGTCCTAGGACTTCAGCTGGGTTTTATAAAACCTTTTTGCTTTAGGCTTCTGCTGCCGTGTGCAAAAAAGAAAAAGGTTCAATCAATCAGTCAATTTCAACTTCTTGCGGGAAAAAAAAGATCTTGCAAAGTTGGAATTGATTGATTGAACTTTTTAGTCCCACCCAGTCTGCCGTTACCACCACAGCCACACCCACCCAATAGGCCACACACCCCCAATTGACCACACCCAGCCAATGGGCCACACCCACCCGGCACCCGATGATGCATAAGTAGGTTTTGGGTTGCTGTTTGAGCACTTGGCCTCTAAAAGGTTCGCCATCACTGCCCTATTGGGTTATCATTGCAGTTATTTCTTGGCCAGATTCCTCAACGCCTTCAACAAGGCAGAGCTTCTAAAATACTGGGAAAAAGTTCTTAAAAATTTCTGGGGGATAATCATGGGCTTGAAAATAGCTCATGTTGAACTGTACAGGAGAGTCAACCATCAGCAGCAGGCCACAGGAAATGTTTTATGACAGTTTGTACGTCATAAAAAACTTTATGATCATTTTTACGTCATAAACTGTTCTATAAAATTTATCAAATTTCAGTTCCATAGGACTCATGGGTCCTACATTTTGGATGCATTCTATAAGGTAGCCCATTTGAAGTAACGCGGTTCAAAAAATTTGGTCCTGTGATGCAAAAGTTCATCTACTTAATGGTTACAGATATGAGAGTTATAGGAGTAATAGATATTTCATACAAAGCATGCTTATCCAGAATTTTAGCATCTGTAAAGAAAGAGATAATCTGTATAGTAATATAGTGTCACTGGCACTATATCTGCCTATTAATCTTCTGATTTAATAGGTAATACACACATAAAGGCTGGATTCAGTTATTTCACTATGCTAGCGTTTTTCAACTTTACCAAGTTTTAAGATGTGCAGAGTTCAACTCCTGGAATTCCCAACCAGCAGAGGGTTTAAAGTTGCCAAGGTTGAAAAACATTGCATAAGCTATTCCTCGACTAAACCATCACCGTTTAGATTTGTGCAAAGTATTCCAATGTGCGCATTTACTAAGGTAAAACTAAGTAAACTACACTGTGGCTTATCACAATATCTGAAAATGTTTTACTTATTTCAAAAAAAATAGTGCTTAATACTTTTATATCCTAAAAGTACTAATGACTAATTCTAAAATATATTAAGATTAAAGCGCTGCTCAAAATTATTAATACTAAATATCAATAAGAAATGAATCTTATTTTAACCTGATTTCATCAGCCTATTGACACTGTATCATATAAAACTCTCCCATTTCCAGATTCTCCATAAATATTTTTCCCTATTCTGTTTTAATTTATTCTCCTTTATGCAGTATATGCCATTAAAACCAAGTAATTATTGAAGAAGAATAAAAAACTTTCTTTGCATGCCAGTAATTCTAAGAAATTTTGATTCTAAGAAATTCAGAGTATTTGTTTTAAAGTTAAGTTTTATACAGGTAGTGCTAGACCTATGACTATTCATTTAATGAAATGAAGTTACAAAGGTGCTCAAAAAAGTGACTTACAGTCGGTCCTCATACTTAAAATCTGCAGCACCCCTGCGACCACATGATCAAAATTTAGAAGCTTGGCAACCGGTATGTATTTACAAAGGTTGCAGTGTCCTGGGTCATGTGATCACCATTTGTGACTTTCCCGGAGGCTTCCAATAAGCAAAGTCAATAGGAAAAGTCATATTCGCAATGACTGTGGCAAAAAAGGTTGTAAAATCAGGTGTAACTCACTTAATGACTACAACACTTAGTGATGGAAACTCCAGTCCCAATTGTAGTCATAAATCAAATACTACCTATATGTTGTCATGCATTTGACAGTTTTCCATTATTAAAATATCTCTCTATCATTTGATTAATATGCAGAAGAGTTTGTCTGATTCTATTTTCCTGTCATTGTTTCCCTTGTTCTTGCTTATTTTTTTATTATGTTTCTCCATCATGTATGTATGTATGTATGTATGTATGTATGTATGTATGTATAAATGTATGTATAAATGTATGTATATATGTGTCTGTCTACCTACCTACCTATCATCTCTTGTCTTGAACTGTTTGAAAATGCAATCCTAAAATGATTCCCATTAAAATAGGTTGCTGTGATGGCACTATAGGCATGTGAGCAAATCAACACCAAAAGAGACAGACTTTCAATTGCACAGGTTATGGCCACTGTCTTTAGTTTGCAGAAAATCAGAGCTGCAAATAAATCCAGATGATCAGAGCTGCAAACAAATCACAATGAAAAGCTGCTCAGCCAATGGCAATCTTTATTTAAGCATCAGCAATAGTCCGCTCAGTAATATTTACTTTGAAGTAATCTGTCTCCCTCTTGATACTTGTTATTTTAGTTCCATTGTCCCTGCCAGCATAGAATTATCAGAGTTATAATTATAACTTATAATCTAAAACATCTGGAGTATATTAGGCTGCATAGCCCTTCTAGTACTTTGATTCATGCAATATAATGGAAAAAACCAGGATTTTTTTCAGGCCATAACAAGATGGCTTTAAAGATACAGGAAATCAGTTGATTGCCTGGTCATTTTTTTTTCAAGAATGTAAGGGAAACTTATTTCTATGCACTTGTTATTTTGTAGTTTCTTCATGCAGAT